GCCCCTCCCTCCGCGGTCCCTGCTCCCGGCCGCGACGCAGCCCCCGCCTGCTCTCTCCTGCAGCCTGGCAGGCTCCTTCGCGCCGCACGTGGGCGCGCCGCCTAGAAGGGCCGCTGCCGCTGGTAAGTCGTGCCCGAGCCCTACCCCGTGTCCACGCCCTCGGCTGCCGGGGAGGACGGGGAAGCCGGGGTATCTCTTCCCCGGCAGCGCGCGAACGGCGAAGCGGCACGGTGTCCTTTCTCGGTGCGGAGTCCTTCCTCGGTGCGGAGGGTTCGGGCGGTGCCGTGGGGGCGGTCCCGGGTGCAGGTGGCTCCCGGCTCGCGGCTCGGCTCGGGCGCTAGCTGCTGCAGTGCGGGGGCGGCCCCGCAGAGGCCGCGCGTGGGCGTGAGGCGCTGACCATGGACCCCGGCAGCGGGGCGGGGAAGACTGGGGGGGGGCCCCCCCCGCCTCCTCTGAAAGGGGATGTGTGGCCACGCCCTCGCCGAGCCCCGCGCGGTCTCGGGTCCAGCAGGTGGAGGTCAGGTGGGTCACGGCCTGCCAGCCCTTCCCGTCGGCCGGCCAACGGCAAAGAAGCTGAGCCTTTGTTTGCTCGTGCGGCCCTGGTAGGGAGGGGGCTAGGGATGCCGATGTAACACAGGGCTTTTCGGCTAAGGGAAGACCCCAAATCTCCCAGCCTGTGTGCAGAAGGGATTAGAGCCGCAGTGCGCGCGCTCAGCCGGCTGGACTGATTGGGCCGCTGCGTGTTGAGGATTCCTGGTGCTGTCAGCAGGGGTGTCCTTTTAGCTCCCCAAAAGCGCGGCTGCTAACGGAGACTGTTAGCCGCAAGTGTTGCCCAGCCTTCAGGACAGCAGCCCCACACTTGGGGCAATTTTTGTAGAATTTTATTTTGTGAACAATTGAAGACCTTTCACCCCAAAGCTTACCCCTATTACGTGTTTTAAGTTTTTTCCCCCAGGCAATTTAATTACTACTCTGAAAGACCAAATTCAAGATGTGTGTGCTAGAGTTGATTAAGCCAGTTGGTAATGAGTCTCCAGTGTTCTTGCTCATAGGAGCATTTGTCATTTTTCACTCTGTCCTCATTTTCATGTAACTCAAAAATTCCTTCGTGTAAACATATGTGTGATAAACTGGGACCGAGCATTTTGTTTGTTTGAACCTGCTTTTCTAAAAAATAAAGAATGGATGTGGTGAGATATTTCCTTCTGACATTTTTGTTTTTAAATAGTCATATTGGTCTGATACCCTTGTTTACGTGGCTACTCCTTTGTGTATCTAATTGTATGTAGCTGTATAACTCAGTTTTATTGAACTGTTGAGTCACAGAAAAGATATCCAGGATAGATGGTAAAGTTGTTGGCAAAAACTATTTAAGGGCTATTAGTTTCCCAACTAGCATAATACAGCACAGGCCCTGTAGCATTTCACTGACCTGAGTGGAATCTTGGTTCTGCCACAGCTTTCTGTAACCTGGGCAATTTTCTGAATAGCCTGATTCTTGGGGCTGATAGTATTCATCTTACAGGATTCAGTTTCATGAGATAAATACATGCATAAACAATAGACTTACCAATCTCCTTTAGAAGACTTTCATATTCACCCCATGTTTTGAAATGAAAGAGTTTGCTTTGAGCGACTGTTTCCAGACTTCTCACTGTGCCATTAGTTATACCAAACAGTACTTTCTGCCATGGCCGACCTTGACATGGGACTTACTCCAGTTCCCTGCTCTTTCTCCGCTGACATCCTCCTTGCCCTGAGCAGTGGTGACCCTTTGCCACCCCACCTCTTAAACACACACCTTATCAGTGATGCAGCGTTCTTCCTGCTAACTCTAGTCACCCACACCTGTGGACCTTGAAGACTGCTGGTGGTAGTTGGGCTTCCTCTTTTCTTTTGCCAGTGTCACACTCTGTTACTTCATCCCACCCATTGTCACTCTGTATGCCATTTGAATTGAAAAGTGTGTAGGTATTTCCCCTTTTATTAAGCTGTGACCTGTAATAGGAACCTTGTCTTATTCCTATTTCTTTCCCAGCACTTAGATTCTTTCTTTTTAGACTCTTAATCAAGTGACTAAACTATACACAATATAACAGTGGTTCAGAGATATTAGATTTCAGACCTGCAAACTTTCTCAAAAAAAAAAAAGTTATGGACTGCTTGAATGTCTCGATTTCTTCTTAGTCTCTATTTGGCAACATAAACAAACTACCTCCTCTCATTACTTCTTAATGTATTCAATAAATGTGAAGGCTGTTAGGCGCAGGCCTTCCCAGGCATCAGTAGGCACTTATTGTGGGCGTGTATGCACAGTGCAGTTTATTTTTGCAGAGAAGCACAGCATGTACAAAGGCTCTGTGGTTGGATGAGTCTGTCTTGGGACATGCAGAAGGGGTGATGAGAAGTAGGTAGAGCCTTGCAGCCTGGAGAGGGGGTTGTTTGGATTTTTAGTAAGCCTGATGGGAAGAGTTTTAAATATAGCAGTGATGCGTTTTTAATTTATATTTTCAGAGAATTCTCAGAGGACTATATGAACATACACTGAGGAGAGGCAAGGGTGAGAGAGAAAACAAGAAGCCTCTGCAAATATACAGGGGTTAGGGGTTTACACAGCAGTACCATGGAGTTAGGGAGCATTTGAGTGAGCAGGTGTTTTTGAAGAAGAGCCAGTGGGACTTGTGTTGAGTGTGGCATGGGAAGAGAAAGAGTCCAGAATGGCACAGGGTCCAGAATTGGTGTAAAGGCCGCTTCTGAGAAGACTACAGAAAGAGCATGTTGAGCAGGTGGACTTGAGGGTTCAGTTTAGTTTTATAAAAACAGCTTTATTATAAGGCTCATATATAATATATACACACACACATATATGTGTGTGTGTGTGTGTATATATATATATATAATTTATGTAATTATGTAGTTGAGTTTTACCAAATTTACAGACTTGTGTAGTCATCACCCAAATCCAGTTTTAGCATAATCCCATTCCATCAGAAAGTGCTCCCACTGGCTGTCACTTCTGGTTTCTGCTCTGTATTGGACACCCTAGCCACTTGCCCTCTCTAGACATTTTCCTGCTCTGGGCATTTCATCTAAATGGGATTGTACAGTACATGGTCTCGTGTGGCTGGCTTCTTCCACTCAGCATGTGTTTTCAAGGTTCATCCATGTGGTAACATGTATCACAGCTTTGCTCATTTTTGTATAGTGTTCCATCATGTGGATAGACCACATTTTCTTTATGGACACTTATCTTAGTCCATTTGGGCTGCTATAATGAAACATCATAAACCGGTTAGCTTATAAATAAACTTATCCACAGTTTTGGAGGCTGGGAAAATCAACATCAAGATGCTGGCAGATGCTGGTGTCTCGCGGGGGCCCTCTTTATGGTTCACAGATGGTGCCTCCTGCTGTGTGATCACATAAGGGAAACGACAACAAAGCTCCCTAGGCCCCCGTTATAAGGGCACTAATCCCATTAACAAGGGCTCTGCCTTCTTGACCTAACCTCCTCCCCGAGGCCCTGCCCTGACACTACCATCAGTACTACAACAGCGTTGACTAGGATTTCATTGTGAATTTGGGGGACACAAGCATACAGTGCTTGGGAGTCTAGTTTTGGATGCACCAAGTTTGAGCCCCCTCTCCACCCCAACACACACATACACACACACATGCCAGTCCAGCTGGAGAGGTCAAGCAGATACCTGCTTGCATCTTAACTCCAGAGATGGGGCATTTGGAGGACATTATTAATATGAGTCACTGGTGTTTAAGTGGTCTTTTTTTAAGTTACAGGAATGGGGAAATTACCAAGAATTGAGAAATCGCCAAGAATAGGGAAAGGAAGAGGTCCCAAGACTTGATGCCAGGAAATGCCAGTGTTTTGCAGTTGGTATTGGTAGAGGAGGATGAAAGCACAGAGGGGAGGAAGGTGGGGACGAGCTCAGGGGCTAGGGACAGAGGAGTATGTATGCTGAGATGGGGCTGTTTCCAGAAGGAGGAGGAGGTGTGCAGCTTCCATCTGAAAGGGGAAGTGAGGAAACAGGAGGGACCAGTGGCATTGGTGACTGCACCCCTGGCATATGGTGACCTTAGAAGCCTGGAGTGGGTCTGAGTGATTTCACAGGGTTCTTGCAACTTCAACAAATGACAGATGCAGCCTTGAAGAATATGTTATACCTACAGCTCAGTTTCTTCCAGTTCCTGTGTTTGCCTTTTGATTTGATGGACTGCATGCAACTTGGTTGACTACCTTACCACACTCAGTCACCTCTGACCTTGCCACGTGTCTGCATATGCTTCTCGTCTCACAGACCCCGAGCAGTACTAGTAAATATCAATAGTAACTAAGTGTCATCTAGCCTCATGTATTGATTAGGATTGTGTCTGACTATAACAGAAAGCCCGAGTAACAGAGTAACTGAATGAAAGAGTGAATGAGTGAGCAGTAGTATAAGTAAGTTAGCTGTTCTGTGTTACAGTCCAGATAAGAAGTGCCCCGGCTTGGTAGCGCTGCCTTTGTAAAGCCATCAAGGCCTCAGCTGCTCTGTTTCCACTCAGCTGTTCTTAGTTTGTGATGTTCATGCATATTTTGTCATGGTGGCTTCGCTGCCACGTGAAATCTTTGCTATGAGTAGAGAGAAGAAGAGTGACAGACAGAAGGCATGTGCCAGGGGAGTCTCCTCCTCCCAGACAGCTTCCCTAACACAGCTTCTCCTGACACGTCATTGTCTAGAGCTGCCCTGTGGCCACTGAGCCGCATGGGAGTCTGGGAACTGTAGTGCTGCCCTGAACAAATTAGGGTTCCCTTAGTGTGGAAGAGGGGAACAGGGAATTTTGGATAAGTGTCTGAAACACTTTAAATAGAACTTAATCAGGTGAAGGTTAAAGAATGAGAGCAAATCAGAACCATACAGCATTCCTTTTGAGAAAATGCTAAAATATGAAACTCAGTGACAGATCAAAGGAACAATTTAACATTTCCGTATCTTGTACAGCACTTTTCAGAGTTATAACTGGTTTAAATAGACTGGTGGGTTGACCTTCAATTTTTCTTTCTTTTTTTTTTTTGTTAGGATTTGGGTCTCCCTAGGTTGCCCATTCTGGCCTTGAACTTGCAATCCTCCTGCCTCAGCCCCCTGAATAGCTGCATTACAGGTGCATGACTGCATTCAGCACCAACAAAAAAAAAAGAAAGAAAGAATAAAGAAAAAAATTGACATAAGCATGTATTTCTGTACATCATAATATATACATGATGGATGTTTTCTTTTCTTTTTTGTTTTTTTTTTTTGAGAGATTTTCGCTATAGGGTGCGTGCGCTCGCCAGACAGACAGACTTTAGAAACAGGAAGCAAGAAATCACCCCCCAGGGGGGATGGTCACGCCACAATCCCTTCTCCTCCATTCTCCTCTTGGGATCTTGGGCTCGCACGCACACGTGCCCAGCGTGAGTTTTAAGCCACCAGGTCCGGGACACGAACCGCGGTCGACTACGTGGAAGTCCAGCGACATAGCCATTACGCTAACTGCTGGTTCCCATGACGGATGTTTTCAAAAAGCCAAATTAGTGCAACATTTATTCTTTGTTGTTCTTTATTAGTATGTATTTCTTTGGAACCAGAAAAGAAAGGGGAATGGTTCCTGTCTGATTTGGGATTAGGATATGCTTTAGGCTTTGCAATAGCTATAGCACATATATTGCTACATAATGAATCTTTTAGCAGTAGGAAAAATAAAACAGGCCAGGCAATGGCACAGTAGTAACACAACATGGGACCCATATGGAAAAGGTCCTGGGTTTGTGTCCTGAACATACCAGTCATGATCTGGTAGGCTGAGATTGAGGGTGAATTATGGCACGAGGACCCTGTTGGGGTCGGGGTCCATCAGAGAATATAGGAACAAGCAGAGTAAAATGCTGACTGCCTGGCCCGGTGTAACACACACTGTGCTCTGGGGAGGCTTGAAGCCTGAGGCAGCACCTGGAGGGAGCCGGCTGATAGTTGGAGCTTAGTGTCTGAGCAAGCACTTAGTCAATTCCTGACAGCACAACTGTTAGACGCTTCGCCAGTACACCCTCGTTTTCTTTAACATTTTACATTTTTTCCCACCTGATTTCTAATTTTCTAGTCTAGTTGTAGAGGATTGAATTGCTAAATAGACTGCTCAGGTTAAAGCTTTTCCTTAGATTTTATAAATAACCTATGTCGGGAGGGGCCATCTGTACTCAGAATTTCCAACTGGCAACAAATGAAGTTTTGCAGCTTTGTGAGTTTCATTCCTAGAAATAATTTTGTGAATGAAGTAGAACCCTGCCATTCTTGCTTCTTTCTGCTCCCTGCATTTGTCTTCCTCAGGATCCAGGAGGGCTGAAACTGCTTATCTTTTATCTGCTGTAGTTCCTGGCCCAGAAGCCTTGCTAAATATTTGACTTGGACTGCCCAGCAAGTTTGTATCTACTGGTAGTTCTAGGATGGCAATGATTTATGTCCTTGGATAGTTTCCTTATTGTTTACATTTTTTTATTTCCTTCTAGATACTTTCTCTACTGTGAGAATGTAAGATGGATCCAGAAGAGCAGGAGCTATTAAATGATTACAGATACAGAAGTTATTCTTCAGTAATTGAAAAAGCTTTAAGAAATTTCGAGTCCTCAAGTGAATGGGCGGATCTCATCTCTTCCCTTGGCAAGCTCAATAAGGTACATGGGGCATCTGCTGTTTGGATTGCATGCAGGTGGGGGCACAGTTGTCTTTTTATTATTATAGGAATTCTTGATGACTGAAAGAGTCAGACAGCATAGGGAAAAAAAGACACCTATAATCCTGTTACCCAGGTACTCACCATGAACCTATCCGTGCACGTAACTCCTTCCAGCTCTTCCTGAACATGGAATTATATTTAGTGTTGAGGTAGGTGAACAGTCTTTTTCTCAAAAATACTTATCTTTCGGCAAGATAAAATTGAAAATTGTCAGGTCAGTTTTTCTAAGATGGTTCTTTATGAACTGCTTAGGATTTTTACTACCTTTTCTTCTTCAGTCCACTTTTTTAGCCGCTTTCCTTCTGACTGGTAACTCCTAGAAGACTATAAGATAATATGGTGGGGTCTGCATAAAATTTGTATGAGTGCATGTGTGTACAGGCTTGTGTGTATGCGTTTGGATGAGGAGGAAGCGAGAGGTCTAGGAAGACCCAAACTGGTCATATGGGAGTTTGACCTTGGTGTTCTGTATATACAACCTATAGATCTTGCCCGAAGGAGGATGATGTAGTCATTCTTTTGCACTCATATGACTACTGTGGTGAATAGGTCAGATAGCTGGTCTTAAGGCTGTACTTAGCTCTGTTACTACCTGGCCAGGACCAGAATTTGAAGTCTCAGTGGCAGGTAGGGGTTGGGAGAAGCCTGGCTCTGCTGTGCAGAGCTTAACTCCCCAGATCCTACACATCAGGGGACTCACCAACCTCACTACATAAGCTCCTTTACTTATCATCAAAAAGAGTGTCTCCATTGACCCCTCCAGGAACAGGGCGTGAGTAAAGAATGAGAGTACCTGCCTTTGGCACACTGCCCAGGCAGCAGACCAGCCCTGATGGCCAGCGAGCAGTGCTCACGCTGACAGATGGCTGTCAGGCCCAGTGAGCAAGGCAGCAATTACGGTGCAAGGCTGGGAGATCACTGGACTGGATTCTTGCAAGGTGTATTTACAGCATGTAAACCTCATGGCTAGGGGCTGGTGGGGATGGACAGCTGTATGCATCAAAAGTCTTCCTTGAGAATTCTTGGTTGTATAGCTCTGACTCAGAGATTCCCAAGCTGAAGGTGGCACTCACTGGCTTGCATACAGGCAGATGCCATGTTTATGGGAAAGGAAAAAGCAGTCGAGTGGGACTGAGGCTGTTCAAGTCCTGTGTGTTCTCACGTTTTATTAGTTGGCTCTGCTGGAGTATGAAAAATAGCAGGGGCCAGCAAATCGCATAGCAATTACATCACTGGATTCCCACATTGCTGACCGCAGTTTGAGTCCCAGACCTGGTGGCTCGGAACTCATGCCAGGCATGTATGTGTGCTTGCCCAAAATCCTGGGAGGAGAATGGAGGATAAGGGATTGTAGCATGGCCATCCTCCTGGGGGTGGGGTGATTTCTCACTTCCCTTCTTACTGTCTCTGTTTCTCTATCTTTGTCCAGTGAGCACATGAATCCTAAGGCAAAAACTTCTATCAAACAAAACAAAACAAAACAAAAAACAAGGACCAGCAGTTAACGTAATGGCTATGTTGCTGGACTCCCATATAGTCGACGGTGGTTTGAGTCCCAGACCTGGTGGCCTAAACTCACAGTGGCCACATGTGTGTGTGTGCCCAAGATCCCAAGAGGAGAATGGAGGAGAAGGGATATGGAGGAGAAGGGATTGTGGCATGGCCATCCCCCCTGGGGGGTGATTTCTCGCTTTCTATCTCTCTGTCTCTGTGTTTCTGGTGAGTGCACGCACCCTATAAGCAAAAACTTCTTAAACAAACAAACAAACAAACAAAACCTCAGTAGGGCCAGCTCCATGGCCTGGTAGTTAAGGCAGTAGGATCTCACATGGCCAACTGTGCAGTTTGAGTCCTGGACCTGGCAACTCAAAAAGGAAAAAAAAAAAAAAATCCGGGCGCATGTGCTTACATGCTAAAATTCCAAAAGGAGGGAGAAATATAAGAGAAGGGGTTGTGGTGTGACCATTCCCCATAGAGGTACTTTTCCTCTCTTCTCTCCTTCTATTTCTGTTGAGCACATGCACCCTCTAGCCAAAAAAAAAAAAAACAAGTTTTAT